TGATAAAAAAAATAGCATACTCATCAATAATTAATTTTTTGTAAGGTGCACCATTATTACAAACGGCACACTTCCAAGTTGGTCGTTTTTCATTCATCTTCAAAAAATTTGATAAATCGAAACACTGTAAGTGTGTACAATCATATGCCTTAACCGGTATCAGCATTCGCGTTTTTCCAAGCTGTAAAAAATCCATGGAAAGACCCATTGCATTTTTGATAGACAGTATAATGTGGATAACGTAGCTGTAGCTGATGGACAGTAAAAAAAAGATTCATAAAAATTTAAAAGAAACAGATGTTTTCCTGATGAAATCAGAAAAACATTACAATTAGCGATTATAATCATGCCAAGATCATCTTGATCAAATGTAGTTGTTGACACAAAAAATATACTCACAGGGCACAATAAAGATATTCTCAACGTTTCCATTTGTATTGCATCATCGTCGCTAGACAAACGATTTCTAATCATACGTCTTGTTTCTTCAGCATCACGATGAGTAGACAGATTAGCCAGTAGACGTTGACTGAAAATGAAAAAAATTATAAATCTTCTGCTTCTTTATTCTCCTTCCCTCAAATTATATTTTCTAAATAGTGAGAAAAATTAAAATCATTTACATTTAGACGATCAAGTGTTGGCTTTCGAAAGTCTGATATATCCAAAATGAAAATAGTAAAGCAGAAATCTCACAGCAATATCTCGGAGGTAAGTCTTTTCACGACATAAATACCGACTGCCCAAGAACGTTCATCTGCAGACCACTCTATCACCAATCGATGCGGCCGGATTGCATCGCGTGGTGGTTGACAGTAAGGGGTTATGTTCACCGGACGACTCGGCCTTTTTGGTTCCGCATATGGTTTATTCGTTGGAATAATATTCTGCAGAAAAAAGCCAAATTTATGAAGCTAAATGCATAAACTGTGTCAAACATTAAAATGGATGAGAACCAATTATGCAATTTATCACTCCTGTAAATATTCAGATTTATGAGAGTCCCTTAAAAAAAAAGGCAGCTGAATAACTAAGATTTCACATTTACCGGGAGAGTGACCGGAACATCGTCTATCTTTGCATTGCAGTTGGGTGGGAAATCATCGTGTTGTTCAGCGGAATGATCCAACAAAAAAAATCGTAGTTGTAGCTCAGTACGGGGTAAGACGATAGATTCATTTCTGGAATATGTAATTAAATCACAGCGCCAACGTAATAAAAAGAAAAGAGGGATCTAATAAATCTTTTTTTCTTCAATCATGAAATAATGATTAAACTAACCTGTAAGCAATTTGTGGCATAATGTTCGATGGGATAGCAAATGTAATTGCAAAACGAGACGTAGACCGAATACCCGATATATTCGCCGGTAATTCAGAAAGTTCAAGTAAAGTTTGTTGCTGCAGAAAACAGCTGTTTTAAATGTAATAACGGAAAAATCATGTAAGTGCTAAACTGAGGAAAATCTGGGAAAATCCCAATTAAGAAGTTAAAACATGAGACGAACTTTATCATAAAATGGTAAATCAGCAATGTTCAGATTTCTAGTCTGAACCATTTGTGATGAAAATGGATTATGAGCACTGATATACTGTTGTTGCATCAGTGCTGATGATAATGTCATTACAGGATTGTAACCGTTCATGACACCGTTACCATCCATATGATTATATATGGGTACTGAAGGTGCGCTTGACGCACTATAACGTCGACTGGAACTAATTTCGCGAATCTTCTGTACTACTGCAGCTTGATTACGAGCGTTTTGTAGCAAATTAATGCACCTGAAATGTGTTTCATCAAATAATGCATTCTTATCGCAGTTCTTCGCCACCAAAATGAAGATCTAATGAATGATGAATGATTAGTCTCCGTTAATAATGCAAGCTCTAAAATAATTACCAGATTTTCTATGACGTTAGGAAAAATTATGACGAAAAAACTCACCGTTGTACAAGTTCTGTTTTTTTCCCTAATTTCGGACACTTAAATGACGACAGCAGAATATGAAGCTCGTTCACACGGAATTGTTGTAATGATGCCTACAAAATAAAACTGTTTCTAATGCAAAAGCGGGGTTACCAAAAAAACCAAGTTTTCACGGTACATTCATAAGGATAATGAATTCTATGATCCTAAAACAATTTACAGTTATTAGCTTAAAATTAGGAGTAGTAATACAGATGTTTTCGACTAAAAATGTGAATGGTAATGAATTATAGGAATACGACTAAACACGTTTTTAACAAATCTATTAATCAAAACATTATTGAAAATTCTGCCTTACAAATCTATAATATAATTCCCGATATTCTTTGGAAACTGTAATTTCTCTACCATTTAAATTAGTGACGGTTTTAATATCCAAATCTCAATACGTTTCTAATTCATCTAATTAACATTACTTACTCAAATTATATACAGAATAATCATCGGTCTTCACTACTTTTTATATCTTAATCAGAACTTGGTAAAATTTCGCTGAGACCAGAAACAGCCTGATTTAATTATAATTAATTAAAGTAAAGTTAAGGAAACAAACTAGTCAGGATTCAGGGAACATATCCACTGGACGTAGACCATTAATGTTGTGCTGTTGCACGTAAAGGCCGACACTGGGATCACAATGACTCTGCGACCAGTGAAACTTAACCACGATGATGGCAATACCGAAGCTGGGCATAGGAGACATATAAGGATCTAAGACAACCTCGTAATGTTTCGCTAGTTGTGATGTTTAATTTTTCAATTTTGTATTTTGCTTAAATCCTTGAGATCAGCATTTCCTAGCATTAGCATTTCGGAAATAACTTAACAATGAACTGTTTATGTGAGGTGAGAATCTCATCATCTAGTCATCATCTAGTCTTAACAAAAGAAAAAGATAAAGATTATATATTGATCATGATCTCTAGATACCATCTCCAACATACAACAGATAATATGCAACAGTTCGAACAGAGAGACGAAAACAAACATCGCTACACGTAGTTGGTGAAAAGGTCATTTTACCTCTTCTTATTCCAAACTTTGTTTTTCTCCTTATATGACATACCTTCGTCGCCCACAACAAGTTGCAGCGAAATATACTCTTGTGATGAGAAAAAAAAAATTTCCCAATATTTTCTTAATAGAATTCTTCCTCTAAATTCAAGAAGGGCAACATTCAGTAGGCTATAAAAGATGGATATCTATCCATCCTTTTACATCCTGTTCATCACTAATTTTCAGCCTTTTTAATGATGGCTCTATTGCTGGTCAAAGTAGAAGCAGATCATTTAACATGTATACATCATGCTTGCTAGCAAACCATACCATTTCATCTATACACACCTCCCGAAGTTGATTTTGTTCCTTTTCGAATAAAATAAAGATGGCAAAAAGTGTATCAAACTTACTTCCAGTGCTTCGAGTTCAGCTCTGTTGGCTGCAGCCATAATCCATTGAATGCTGACGACAAAATTCTTCAGCTGGAAAAAACATCAAAAACGCTTTTCACAATCCACGAAACAAATACGTCCTACCTTACCTCTTTCACTAATTCATTAATTAATTGAACTTCCTGCAGTCATTTCATATAAGTGGAGTTATTCGCTTCGTACATACACTTTAGGCCTGATTTCCCAATTAAGTTCATTCTCCATTTAAGTGATGAGGTTAAATGACAAGGATTGTAGTCAGAGTTCATACCGTATTATGTGCGAAAAAATAAAACAGGGAGCAGTTTTCGCAATAAAAATTAATCGACAGTTACAAGCAATATTCCCATTGCAGAATATGCACATATTTGTTAGTTTCATACATCGCTACTTTAATGTAGCGTACTTTAGAAATTCATCGTGCTTGTTTATACCAAAATATATAACCATCACAAATAGTTATTAATATAGTTACTAAAATATTACTGTTCGGAATCTTGAACACTTAGAGATGGATATGAATACCTCACTTTATCTCCTCAAAGAACTTCAAAATCTCTTTAAGAAAAGCGAGAAGCAACTGATTAAGTGTACTTTATTTTAATTCTAACCAGCCGCATTATTCTAACAGCCCATAATGTAGGACAATGTAATGCGCCGAAACCAATCGCAATTAGGAAATTATTCAATAAGTTTCAATTAGTTTCATTCATAAGTAATGGACTTTTAAAGAGAAAAGACATAAGGAGACTAAACATCATAGCAGTGAAAGTCAACGAATACAGAAGATTCTGTGAAATTATAATCAGCTCTTGCACCAGTCTTTTTCACTAAAAAATTAATACTGGAAGACCTCATAGAAAAGAAAGAATCGACAGATAAATATAAAAAAATACTACCAATGCATTCCGTTTCGCAATACATATATAGTACATCTAGAATACAACCATCATGCAATATCCGAAAATTATCCAGAAATCCCACAAGGAAAATAAAAGCGAAAAAATGACCATATGGGCTGAGGAGACATAAACGTCACGGAGTATTTGCTAACTCCGCAACATCCTAACATCCTTGCCTTTATAGGAATTCAGATGGAATACAGTTATCGCGGACATTCAAGTCGACAGGTCAATGACCTTTCCTTCTTATTAAATAAACAACACTTTCTGCCAATGTTTTATTTACAGCCTTATCACAAAACCAAAACAAATGTCATAAACAATTTTTATGAAAGTTGAAGGGATGTCATTCTTCCTAGTTATCAACTTGATAACGCCTAAAATAACACGTACAAATATAGATATAAGTAATAGGACCATTTAAAAGTTGCAAATTTTTACGTGCGAGCATGACTATATGCAAAAAAATCAAAAAAGCAATATAGTTAAGAATTATCAGGATAATCCATTATAGAGAAAATCCATAACAAAGAAAAAAGAATAATCCATAGATCAAAGGAAAGATCCACTTAACGTTAATATACAATCACTAAATTTAACTGCAAACTTCTGCATCATCCAAGCTTTCAATTGCTAAAAAAGATAGAAGAAAAAATCCAGGAAGCCTAGCACATAAAAACTATCTTCTGTGCCACATTAAACTCTCTCGTTTTCGCTTAATTTTCTTTTGCAACTGTAGCACGCCGTACAACAATGCCTCTGCTGATGGCGGACATCCAGGAACATAGATATCCACAGGAATAATTCGATCGACACCTTTCAAAACTGAATATGAATAGTGATAATAACCACCACCATTTGCACATGAGCCCATACTGATTACCCATTTTGGCTCAGGCATCTGGTCATAAACGCGTCGAACTGCCGGAGCCATTTTATTAGTTACTGTGCCAGCGACTATCATAACATCTGACTGAAAAAGGGACTGTTTAAGAATGCAACTGCTTTTTTAGAAGCCATAACAGTATGCTTGCTTGAAACCTACATGTTATTTCTGTAAATCATTTAGCTACACAAATGAATAACCATGCATAATATGAAATAGCGAACCTGTCTAGGAGATGCACGAAAAACGACACCAAAACGATCCATATCATATCGCGGAGCAGCAAAATGCATCATTTCAACAGCACAGCATGCCAATCCAAAAGTCATTGGCCAAAGAGAGCACCGATGAATCATATTATTTAAATCATCCAAACGAGTTACAGCCATTTCGCCTTTTGGCAAAGGATCTTGCCATGGTGAGCCCATTATTCCCCAGATACCCTGAAAATAATGGCCTTGAAATACCGAAATAAACTGTTATACTAGATAACCTATAATTTATCACGCTGGATGGAAATAACCTTTGGCCTGGTCCCCTTCTCAGCTGGTGCCATCGGACTTGTTGGTCCTATTGCCTTGCTTGATTTCGGTCGAATTGGGTATGTAATCTTTGCAAACGCTTGTCTTAAATTAAAAAACACCTCAGCATTGGTAGCCATTTGCATGGTTGAACCTGAAATGCAAAACAGCAGCTCAAAAAAGTATGTTGAAATTCTTGCAGGCGGCATTCCAAAACCTCTCAAACAGAAACATCAAAGTGATTGATCCAGATAGTCGGTTATCCTTGTTAAAATGTTTAAAATAATAAAACACTAAAATGTGGCTTTTCATAGTTTCCGAGTAATATATTGGCTCTATAGCACACCCACCCATCTCCGTATTATTCTCCCCTTCCCTGTAAAAATTGTCTAGGTAGAATAAGAGGTTCCACTCTGTTTGAGGTAGTTTTATACCCAATCTTCAAATTTATATTTCAAGCACTAAGTTGGGAAACGCAAGTAGTCATACGCAAGTAATAAAGACAGTACCCACTTCATGACAATCCAAAACCTACTCCTTACCTGAGTCTTCTCCTTTGCTCTTAGAAGTGACAAATACCTGCAAATTATGGGAACATTCCAGACCAATTATCAATTTCACAAATCGTGAATGAAATGTTTAAGTATAATTCTGGCCGGCCGTGAAATATTTACAGGAAAACGCAGCACCTCAGGTTTATAATTGGGTGTGTTCTGGGAGATGTGGTAGCACATGTGGTGCCCGAGGTTGACGAGTAGTTGAGCTATTGGAATGGGTGTGCTGGCACTTTCTATACTTTATATAAGAGAATGTTTGTATTGAAGGACTGGAAGCAATGAAGAGAAAGCAAAGTGGTAGTGCTGGTCAGTACAGCAAGAAGAAACGTCCATTTTCAAAAAAAGCAAGGAAAAGCTATGTAAGTTTAGTTCTCTATGTGTTGCTGGTCACTTTTACGCATACTTCCAACTTTTTAGCCTTTTACAAGTATTCTGCTATTATTGTATTTGGTGAGAGCTGATAAAATCATCTTGTGTGTTGGAATGTTTTATTACATTAATGGGGTTTTCTGGCATGAACTCTACATAAAACTGCAAGATGTCAGCAGGTCAGCATATTAACTTCATTTCTTCCATATTAAATCTCTAGTCTTTTGGATATCTTGATATATGCTTGTTTATAATGAGATAAAACACAGAACCAAGTTGTTTTCATTTGTTTCACATCTAAAATGTTCTGTATTCTGTTTGAGAGAACATTCAGCAAATGCATTTGTAGATAAGTTTATGTCACTCGATACAAAATTTCTCGATTCATTTAAATTTGCAGAGTATTACTGACTTTGAAAAGCATGAGAAAATGAATCGGAAATCAAGAGAAGAAACAGAACGGAAGTTGTTGAAAGAACCTCATTCAATGGTCATTCACAGGGGAAAAGTTGGGCAGTTTGTGCGTTCTCTGGAACAGGATGTGCGTATTATCATGGAACCTTTTACTGCGTCGAAGCTTAAAGTAAGCATATTTCTTTTCAATTTATTGAATAAAATTACTTTTCGGTTTATTAGGTAGAATTAAATAGGATTTTTATATAAGAAAGTTTTTTGGCAAAGACAAATTCTTTTTTGAAATCGATTGTGAAGAACGTATTTTACGCCATAAAAATAGCAGCGAGGGTGATTACCATTTAGAAAAAAAGGTCTAATATTTTGACTCTTCAGAGGGATCAAGCTGTTACGTAACTTGAAGGTAGCCTTATAACCATGAAAAAGAGCCGATTGGAGTTTAAAGATAACAGAATAGGAAGATTTCTTTGCTCATTTAATAGAAAGCAAAAAGTTGAGTTTCCAGTCTTAGCTTCAAGAAGTTTTATTCCTATTGTTTCCTACATTTAAGGTTATGAAACGAAACAATCTAAAAGATTTCATCGTCAACGGTGCAGTTCTTGGCGTTACGCATTTGCTTGTGTTAACTCGTGGGGAAAATTGGATAACGCTAAGAATTATTCGGTCTTGTCAGGGGCCAACATTGACCTTTCGAGGTAAAATTGAGTGCCATTTTATGATTTTTTTTTTCTAGAAAATAGTATTTTGAACAGTGTTTATTCAACTACTATCTGTTCTTTATTGTAAAGCGCACTGTTGTAGAACCGTCAACTACCTTTAGAAAATTTTTTATTTCTGAATTTGAATGAATATCAGTATAAGTGTAAGGTTTTGCAGACAACAGCGTGAACATACATTTTATCCATACATTTTAATTTTTGTTAGCTAAAATTATTAGAAATTATAGTCAAAGACAAATTCTAAATTTTTCAAAATCTAATGATTGCAAGCAGCATTTCATATCCTTTCCACCATATCGTTTTTAGTCGTTTTAGACTTATAATGAAAAGCATTATTGCAGTGAAAGAATATACATTAGCAAGGCATATTATTTCGGCATCAAAACGCAAAATGTACTTCCAACGATTATTCACTACGGCTCCACTTGTTGTGATGAGTGGTTTCAACTCAAATTGCGGTCAACATTTACGACTTGTACAGTCTTTATTCCAGAACATGTTTCCTACAGTAAATGTTGATACGGTCCGTTCTGTTTTAATTTTTTATGAATTTCTTAAGGCAGTTAAAATCTTTAAGAGCAACGAATTCTTTTCATATGAATTAGCTGAAAGGTGCTTTGAGAGAATATCATTTAATGATTCTATCGTTAAATAAAGTTTTAAAATTACATATAAATGATAGTGTAGGTTCTTGCTCTTGCTCAGACCGAGTGTTTAAAATCTATATTTCTTTTTTTTTTTCTTTTTTTTAGGTGGATTTGTCTACTATTCGACGTTGTATGCTGATCAATTACAATGTTGGCGATGATACTATCCAACTGCGACATTAGTATGCTTCGTTCCTATAACCAGCCCATTTTCTCAAGTATTTTGCCTTCTCAAATTTTTTTAGCGCGATCAAGGCAGTTCCTGCAGGACTAAGCAAACAGACTAAAAAACTAATTCAAAGCAAGATTCCGGACTTATCGAAATATAAGGATATCGAAGACTACTTTACAAAGTATGTTTTGTGAGGGAAATTTTTATTTGGAATCTAAAGAATTTACCGGAAAATTTTTCAAAGATGTAGATGAAATTCTGGCATTACGAGTTGTTCTTTTTAGCCCAGGTCAGATGAGCGAAAGTGAATATGAGTTTGAACAGAAAGAGGTCAAATTACCGCAACATCTAACAACACGAGGATGCTTGGAGGGACAAAAAACAAACTTAAGGTAATTAGTTTTCCATTATTTAATATTCTATTCATTTTTTTTTTCACCCTTACAGGAGCCTTTGGTTTGTCTAATATTGAAATATGTGTACATTGATTTTAAATTAACTGCTTCCAGACTTTATGAGCTTGGTCCTCGTCTGACATTACAATTAACGAAAATCGAAGAAGGTGTCGATGAGGGCGAAGTTCTTTATCATTCCTACATCGTCAAATCTCCTAAGGAATTGATTCAGTTAAGAAAAGAACTGCCGAAAAAAAAGTTAATTCTATTACATTATGCAGTGAGCACAAAGATAGTTTCTGTTATGAAGTCATTCTATTTATTTGAGGTAGATAGATTAAAGCAGGAACTTACTGAGTCTAAATCACTATTGGTCATTGTTAAGGTGCTAACAAATTTCCGTCAATATTCAGGAAGTTGAAAAAGAAGATGCAAATAAAAAATGAACGACGAATCATCTGTCGCATGAAAGCTCTAAGTGAAAGGAAATCCAAATTAGAGGAATCCCTAAAGGAAGAAAAGAAGAAATTAATAAGAAAACAGAAAGAAATTACTGGTGACCAATTCGATGATCCATCTATGACCCATGCGCATGATTAATTATGACGGTCTTTCTCGCTTTTTGACATGTGCTGTTTTGGTGAGTCAAGCATTGATGGTTTGTTTTTATTAAACGGTTGTCGATTTGTTTAATTCATAAATGAAATTTGGTGGGAGGATTATGGCAACAGTTTATTCCCTTTGTTTATATATAAAGGGCCTATCTTGCTTTTCCTGCACTGAGTGTTGAAGTTACGGGTGATTCTTTTAACAATACTTTTTTCCTTTTTAAGAATTGTTTGAACAAAATTATGCTTAAAGAGGATTAAGTGTCACCCTTTTTAAATCTTAAATAGTCTTAAGAAGACTAGCAAGTGTAACACTTAGGTCAGTAAAATTATTGAAATTTCTCTTTTGTCTGGAAGACGACTTGCATACGGCCATGCTCACTTTTCGGTTGAATTTAGAAGACATGTTAAATTATGAGTCTTGATCAATTTTTCCCGATTTTTTATGCTTTTGTTTTTTCAATATTAGGTTCTATTATTTTCAATGACAAAATTTGATGTAGTGAATGTTGCTAGAGGATGCAGAAAATCGATGATCAGATTGACACGTGATAGAGCTACCCACTTTTTGGCTAGTTTATCTATACGGGTATTAACTTTTAAAGAATTAAAAATACAGCTCAGCACAACCATGTTTCATGCATACATGAATTGAAGCTACACAAAAAAGTAAGCAACAATGTATCACAACCTCGAAGTCGAGGCAGATTCTTTAAAAGAAGTTCCAAATTTTGGGCATTCTCGTCAGATTTTAGTTGCTTTAAATATTCAAGAAATGTTCTAAAATCTGGTAGTTATTGAAGGACATAGTCTGTCAATCAGATTATATGCCTGCAAGAAGCTAGGAGACCCACGACGCTTCCGAATAATTAAGAAATGTATAATCGTCGATGCTTAAAGCTACAGAATGCAAAGAACCTGATCTACCAATCGTCTAATTTATATACATTTGAAATGCCAGAGTTCCTTCTACACGGCATATAATCCCTAACAAGTAAATTAAGTCTGTCACAAAAAAAGCATTCAAATGAAAGTACCGTTTAAGAATCATAACACTTCAAAATAATAACATTTTAGGATCATGTATTCTAGAATGAGATTTTAAAATAAGTAAACTCACATCTTCCGATGTTTAAAAACGGAGAAATTCATCCTTTAACATTTCTAAAAACAGATTTTACAATTGTAGTCATTACTCTCAGCAGTTTTTAAGCTCTCCAAATTAATCTCCAAATTCTTTTAAAACTTTAAAGAAATAA